CATACAAAATGGAAAAACCACCTCTGGATAGAGGTTATGAGGGTCCTAAAACCCACCAAAAGGACCCTGAAATTAGACTAGGAAGCATGCAAATGAAAGCCCCTTTGAAAGGCCTTGGATGAGATTGCTCTACACATGCAAAATAGACACTTCATATGGCAAAATGGGCTCCAGAAAGAGCCAAGGCAGACCTTAAAACTCACCAAATAGGGCCTGAAATGTGACTTCACAACATGCAAGTAGGAGCCCCTCTATAAGGCCAAAAGGGCTAACAAACAAGGCAAAGAGAGAGGGGGTCACCCCCCTCTGATTTTGGCTCTCAAAATAGTGTGCTAACCACTGAAAATCTACTAGATTTCAGTGGCTAGAAGGCCAAACAAAGCATGAAACAAAGGCCTAGATGCAAGGCTCAAAACAAGAGGCAAACAAGCATACAAGGGGGTAGATGACCCCCAACAGAAAAATGCCGTTAATCAAACTTCAAGAGGGACTCAAAATAAGACTCTTTTCAGTTTATGACAAATCTCGAAAATGCTTGCAAGTAAGGCTAAGATAGGAAGCAAAATAAGCCTACAAAGAGGGATGGAGCATACAAGGAGGTAGATGACCTCAAACAGAAAAGTGTCCTTAATCAAACTTCAAGAGGAGCTCAAAATAAGACACTTTTCAGTTTAAGATGAAACCCAAAAATGCTTGCAAATAAGGCTAAAGAATGAAGCAAAACAATGTCAAAATGGGGGAAATAAAGACTTACCCTTGTAGAGAAGACCTCCAACAACTTATGGACCAAGATGGTGAGCCTTCAACCTCTGAAAATCAGTTCCAAGATGCTTGGATGGATGGTGAAGGTGTTGTGCTAAGGGTTGGTGTGCAAATGGCCAAGAATAATGGAGTTTAGAGCTTGGGATGGAGAGGTATGGAGAGTTGTATGCAAAGTGTCTTAACCAAATTCTTCAACCCTTGAAAATGGAGAGGAAAGCCTCTCTTATAGAAAACAAAGGGTCAAGGCTTCTTGGAGAAGCCTCAAGTAAAGGGTGCAAGCTTCTGAAAGAAGCTAACCAAAAGGGTCAAGCTTCTTGAGGAACCTAGACCAAAGGGGTCAAGCTTCGTCAAGAAGCTTGGCAAAAGGTCAAGCTTCTCCTAGAAGCTAAGCAAAAAGGGCCAAAGCTTCCTTAAGAAGACAAACAAGAGGGTCAAATCTCGAAGGAAGGGTCAAATGCTTCACAGCTGGCACAACGGTAATGCACTCAAAAAGATCAAAAAGCAGAAGGCTGGCCGACCAGCCAAGGTGGTCGGCCGACCACTCCCCCTGGTCGGCCGACCAGGGATCAAAAGGGTCAAGGTGAAAAGGTGGTCGACCATACCAGATTGGTGGCTTTCCGGGTGAATACAACACAGGGATATAGTGGGAAACTAGAAATTATAGCCCAAGAGAGAGGAAAACCAGCTTTCTAGCAAGGTTCAAAAGGGCCAGGAAGAAAATCTGGTCGGCCTACCCATATAGGTGGTCTCCCAGATGAATGCAACACAATGGTGGTATGGGAGACAAGAAATTATGGCCTAAAAATGAGGGAGATCAGTTTCCCGACAAGAAAACTGGCTGGAGGAGAGAGAAAAGTGGTCTCCGAGGAGAAAACTGGTTTCCAAGGGGAAAAGGTGGTCTCCCATCATACTACCACCTTTCTAACAATGAAAATAGGGTCTATACCAAAAATGAACCCACACCGACGCAAAACGAGGGTTCGGGGGTCAAAATGCGCAGCCAAGTACCCCGAAAACTGACTATCAAGCACCAGAAATGGCATGCGACCACGAAGGTGGTCTCCCGGGCCACAGTGTCCCTCTAGGGAGAGGAAACAAGGTATGTGCCAAAAACCGGAGCAAACGGAGATAGTTAAGCGGTCCCGAATCGAGGCGCGCAGCCGACGGCTCCGAAAATCAAAAACTGGTCTCCAAACGGGAAAAATGACCTACGACCACGAAACGTAGCCTACGGCCACTGAGAGGTGGTCCACGAGACCTCTCCCTCCCTTCGGGAAGAGAAAACAGAACCTAGTTCGCAAACCAAGGCAAAGCTCAAAAGAGCCCCGAAGTCTGGAGGCAAGGCTCGCAGCCTAGACTCCGAAACCTCAGAACGAGCACAATATGCATCATCACTGAGCGCTCAATCGGTGACGTCTGAGTCTTAAAGTCGGTCAAAAATGGGGTGTCTATACGTTTGCTAGATTGTTGACGCTTAGAATTCAATTTGAACTTAGGGCCTAGTTGTTGTAGCACATTAGCTCCTGATAACCGAGTTGGACATGGTTCAAATTCACGAGTGCCATCAAAAGACGCACTAGCTTTCCGAAATTTGTGACCCCCGTTCAACCAGTGAGGATGCCCCATGTAACATAATTTCCTTCCGTTCTTCAAATATTGAGACCGAGTATGTGTGTTACAACAAGGACAAGCTAAAGCGCCTTTCATGCTCCATCCAGACAAAATTGCATAGGCAGGAAAATCATTTATAGTCCATAATAACATAGCATGCATTCGGAACATCTGTTTAGTTTCCGCATCATACGTGTCAACACCGTTTTCCCACAATTCTTTCAATTTATCCACTACAAGGCGTAAGTAGACGTCAATGTTATTTCCAGGTGAAGAAGGACCATCGATGAGCAATGTCATCATCATATGAGGCTGCTTCATGCACAACCATGGTGGCAAATTGTATGGCATCATAATAACTGGCCAACTGCTATGAGAGACATTCATTGCCTTGAATGGATTGAATCCATCCGCTGCTAAACCCAGTCTGACATTGCGAGGCTCACTCGCAAACTTGGGATACAAATTATCAAAATTTTTCCAGACTGGAGAGTCAGCGGGATGTCTCATTTTGCCGTCATCAATTCGGCCCTCTGCATGCCATCTCATTAAAGAAGATGTTTTGGATGACATAAACAATCTTTGAAGCCTTGGAATCAATGGAAAGTATCTAACAATCTTATGTGGAATTCTTTGTTGCTTCTTCTTAACATCATTCTCCTCCCCCATGGGCAATATGAAGCCTTAGTCTGGCATCCAGGAGTTCAAATCATTACCTATCTGAAACAATGTCTAAGATGTTTTTGGGAGAAAGAATGTGTTGATCTATGGGGGCATCCTCAAACATTGTAAATGTATACATATGTATATAGTATATTTCTACTCAGCATTGTATTGGCAGGATTTTAGTTGGGTGCTTCCCAAGATTAAATAAATTTCAATATATGATAAGGACAAAAAAATATTTTAAAATAAAATATTGAGTATTAGAGCTAAAAGAGTCATGAGCTGAAAGAGTCATGGAACATTACTTTTAAATTCACTAATTTTCAATTTGCACAAACTCTGGAAATGCTGATTCTGATTTGGATTCATCATCCTCCAGGGTTAAGGTGGTTTGCTATGTCTCTCATACGTGGTTTTGCTAGAAAAGGCAATAATGAGACCACTGTTTTAGTAATGATGCAGAAAAGAGTAGTATTCTATTATTTGTCATTATGTCTCAACTTCAGCTAAAATTCCCAAGTAAGTTTGTGTTTTTTTGATAAATAACATTACAGGTAAGTTTCATTTTATCGTCTTCAGTCTATTAACTTCGTTGCTCTTCAGGTAATAAACTACTCAAGTTCAATGAATTGATCTTCAACAGATAAATGCCCCACCCATTGGCTATTATTCTTACAGGTCATTTTATCTTAATATTTTTTAATAAGAGAGAAAATGAACTTAAATAAAGAAGAACAAATCACGAAGAATGGAAAATTAGGTTTTTTCCTCGAGCAAAACAAGAGATGGAAAATCATACCAATCTACATCCAACAATAAGACATTCCACCACCTGAAACCATGACATGCAGGTTACTGTAAACATGATGAAAAATCCAATGGAAATTCACCAGTGTGTGTTTGATTGGGGTATATAATGGGGGGAGACCAGGCTACATCCTACCCTAACCAAACATAGAACAAGTGATCCGATAGTACATATAATCCCTCTCATATCTTAAACATATTATAACCCATCCTATATCCCTAAGTATTACATATCCTCCTCAACCCCTTATATCCAATCCAACAATCAAACAGGGCAAAGTCTCATTTCAACTTGTTCATGGACTCATATTACAAGAATAAACTACTAATCTAACTAAATTATCAATGCAGTTAAACTGCTATGTTAAGCTTAAACTATCTATTTGTCTAAGCTGACATATTTATACAAAAACTAATGGCATTATCCCATGGATATGTAAACTGTGGCAGAATAAAAAAAGGATTTATATATATATATTTTTTTTGATAAGTCAAGCAACTTTTATTTAAAAAATAACAGCAAAAGGAAATGTTGCCCATGTACAAAAGGTTAAACCATGATAACCTATAGCACTCAAAATAAAAGAGGCCTATACAAATGAAGAGAATCTACAATCTACAATATGATCTAGGCTAGACATAACACTCCCTGAAAACCAACAATACAGAATGGCATAAAAAAACAAACTTTGGAGCTTCTATAAAGGCTCCTTTACTCCTTGAAAGATCCTCTTGTTTCGATCCCTCCATAATAACCACATCAAACACAAATGAGTCAACAACTAGGCTTCCATATTTGCTTCGCTGCCCTAGCCTCCCCAAAATCTGAACCCAACTCCTGAAACAACTCTATGGAAAACCCAAACCATCCCAAATGAAGCCAGAACCACCCTCACAAATCCCTAGCCACCTTACAATCAATAAGCAAATGAGAAACTGACTCTCCATCACATTTACAGAAGAAACACCAGTTAAAAATGATATGTCTTCTCTTTAAAAAGGTTACAAGTCATTAGGGGATCTTCTCATGAGTTCACTCCACACAAAAAAAGTTACCTTGGATGGGGCCCCAACATAATAAAACAAGATGGATAGGAGTTAGAGAAGTACTTATAATCATAGTCTACCAAGAAAAATCAAACTAAACACAACAATGAAAGAAAAGCAGTCATTTGATAAATATAACATACAATGTACATAGACTGCTCGCATAATGTTTCAGCACCACATATTTATAAATAAATTCCACTCCATAGGGCTAACTAAAACCAAACAATAATTCTCTAAATAATAGTGAAGGGACTCTTCAACTGACCTTCATGCGATACCAAAGTTTTGTAGCTTGTCACAATGGGGAGTTGGTAAGTTCCTGCTCCATTGACGCCTCTGCAGTTCTATGTGACAGTAACGACCAAGCATATTTTTGTAATCCTTTATCACATTATTCTCAATATTAGCTCGAGCAGGAGTTTCAAGTGGAAATTTCTTATCAAATTCTGGTGATTTAACATAAAACTCCACTCCATGTTTCTCAGTAACCTTGGGAAACTGATAGGAATAGTTCTTCTGCAAAGAATATTCAGGCTCCGAGAAGGGCAGATAAGCAAGCAAAAATATTATCAAAAATGGTAATATTTGAAGAAGAAGCATCACATTAGGCCCTGCGCCACCAAACTCTTCCCTCGGTTGATTGGCTGTTTCCCTAGTCCTGTAAACATGAGATGCCCGAAACATCTCGGTCTGGCCAAAGAACGCCCTGAATATCTGGTCAGGATCGACATCATCATCAAAAAACTCATGCCCAGTTCTCCTTCTCCGCTGCCTGCCATTGTACTGCTGGTTGTACTCAAATTCTTCAACCAATCCCGTCTGATCATACTGCCTTCTCGAATCATCATTGCTCAAGCACTTGAATGCCTTGCTAACTTTCTTAAATGCCTCCTCAGCACCCGGAGCCTTGTTCTTGTCAGGATGAACTTTCAATGACAATTTCCTATACGCCTTCCTAATCTCCTCCACCGGGCAACCTTTTTGCAAACCAAGAATTTCATAGTAATCCTTACTTCTCCTGACTTCCCTAATCAACTGCACATGCTCTTCAGTATAATTATGCTCCCCGTTCGAAACCTCAGCAAATTTACCCGAAGCCGCCTCATTCTTACTACTATCAACAGGTTTTTCATCGTTAGAAGGACCAGGAGACCCCGAATCTAAATTTTCGCAAGCGGCCAAAAGATCATCAACAGACAAATTATGGTTAAGCCGTCGTGCAATTCCAATGAATTTTAGTGCACGCTGCTTGTTACCCGATGCGATCGCCTCCTTGGCAATACCCACACATCTTAAAGCTTCGTCCTTGTTACCTTCCATAATTGAAAACCCACTTCGATACAAAGTGGATTCACCCAAATTGAGCCCTAAAACTCAATTCTGAGCTTCAGAGACTACTATGAAAGCAGTAGGCTTTCATAAAACAAAATCAGGGGACAGAAATAAACATCTAGGGTTCCAGATGATAATTAGATTCACCTAAATCATAAAAAGCAATGCAAATTTTAAGTTTTTTTATCGAGATGTTCGGGTTAGTGTATTAGCAGAAAGATTGTAAAGCAAAAACTTACACAATTGCACAAAATTTAGGGCTTTAGATAAGCATATATCTCTGAAAAGAGGAGAGCTTTGTTACCTGAATCGGGAATCAAAACCAGAGAGAGAGCGAGAGCGAGAGAGAGAGAGAGAGAGAGAGAGGTGGGGCGTCCCGAATCAGATCAGTCGCCTCTTGGATCATAGGGAGTACCGATGTTTATTATGCCAAAGCAATCAACCACAGCGCGCCACGATGTGAAAATTTGGAATGTTTTTTTGTATTTTTTAAAACAAAATATATAATAAAAAGGTTTAAATAAGAAAAAATTAGTAAAAAATTTACTATAGCAATTGTCTATAGTATAGATCTAGTGAGTTATGTGTTTCTTTTATTGGATGAGATTTATATTTTGTGAAATAGTTTAATGAGAAATTTTGAATATTTTATTTTAATTTTATCTTTTAGCATTTTTTTATTTGTTTGATTTTTTGTTGACTATTTGTTTAAATTTATGTCTATCTATTCAATTTTTATCTGTGTAAATTTGTTATCTATTCAAATTTTTCTGTGTAGATTTTCTGGCTGTTCAATTTTTTTTGTTTGTACAAATTTTCTATCCAATTTTTTTTGTGCTAAAAAAGAAAATTAGTCATAATTAAAAAAAAAATAACATAACTTAAGGAACATGTGATATAAGGTGTCCATAATAGAATTCTCTTTAAATAATTTATTTTAATCAATACAGTTTTTTATTTCCACAATCCCCTAATGACGTAGTAAGACAAAATGCGTGTAATGATAGATTTTTGAAAAAATATTTAAATGTGTGTCAACTTTTTAAATTTTGTTTGTTATGCCATTTGGGGAGGTTTGAAGGGGATAAATTATGTGGATAAACCATTTTTTTATAAATATTTTAATTTATTTAATAATTAATCAATTAATACACAATAATAATGATAATACCGTATCCCTAAACGCATCAATATATGTAAATTTAAGGGGGATAATACTATTTTTATTTTATGCAAAAGTAACTTTCTATGGAACATAAGTTACCAAATGAGTGCTATAAGACTATTATCGTAAAACAAATTTAGCCTCCGTTTGGGTAATGGGTTGACTTTTTAACTATTTTAACCTGAGCTAAAAAGTTTAGTTTGGGAAGAACTTTTTGACTTTTTTAACTTTTTTTATGAGAGAAGAATGTAATGATTATGGGTTGGATGTGATATTTTATTTTTTGTGGCTAAAATAGCTTATTTTGTCTTTTGTGGCTAAAATAGCCAAAAAAGCCCCGTTTAGCTCTTGCCAAACGGAGCCTTAATAGTTTGATTCATATTTGGCATATAAAAAAATTGTTTTAAATAAACAAATTAACCAAAAAAAAAAAAAATTCAAGCTAAACTTAAATTTGATTATATGTAGTAAAAAAAAAATTAAACTATTTAAGTTTTGCTTGTGACTAATTTGATTAAAGTTCGTTTGAATCAAAATGAAATGTAAATAAGTTAAGTTTGAATACTTTTTTAGAACTTGATAAAATGTATAAGTTAAACTCAATCAACTTACTATTTAATTTGACTCAACTTGTTTACAACATTGCAAAAAATGGTCAACAAATACTCCTTATACAAATAAATAAAAGTTACAAATTTGTTAATTGATATGCAGTCTATTATAGTAAATTGAGTCATGTTTTATATTTCAAAAATTTATTATTACTTATCACATCAATTTGAAAATTTATTATTCTATATAAAGTGTACATCTAAATTGGTATGGACGGAATTATTATTTTTATTTTTTAAAAAATGCTTTTTGGGATTTTTATTGATAAATCCATCTTAGAGTTGTTATAACCCATTAAGTCCACAAAGGAATATTATAACCTGATTAGTCCCATAAACTTTTCTGAATATTCCATAAGGTCCATTTTTCTAATTTAATATAATTTCTTGGACTATTTTGCCCCTGTATATATATATGTACAGTGTTAATACGTAAAAGGTGCCTTTTGGGCACATGCTAAACTTGGCCTTAGTCTCTAAGCTATCGATTAAATCTATTAAGTTTTTAAAATATTTAAATCAAATATATTTAGTCCCCAAAAAATATTACACAAATAAAATATAAGTCCATAAATATTCTAAATTAGTAAAATACCCTATCTAGTTAAAATTTTATTTAATCACAATCACAATCACAATCACAATCACAATCACAATCACAATCACAATCACAATCACAATCATAGTTATCCGCATTAATAACTATGAAGAAAACTTGTTTGAATTGAAGACCAAACTTCACCATATAATGTCATTCATTTTATAGTATTTAAATTTCATTTTATGTGTGTATATAAATTTATATATTGTATTGTTTATACATTTGTATTTATATATATAGTAAAAAAAATATTTCGTTTTCTAGCTGCAATGATGAAATCTTAGTCCCGACAAACCAATAACTTCTTTTGAGCTGCTGGTACAGAATTTGCATTTGAATATTCCACATTTTTATATATAGGTACATGCTTACGAAGGTGATAAAATTCAAGTCATGTCATGTGCAATATGGTTGAAATAGTATTGACCAACTTGTTAGTCACTTATGAGACGAATAATGATTTACTTAGTATGTGATATGATTTTTTATTAACTAGCATAATTGATTTACTTAGTATGTGATATGATTTTTTATTAACTAGCATAATTGATTTACTTAGTATGTGATATGATTTTTTATTAACTAGCATAATTGATTTACTTAGTATGTGATATGATTTTTTATTAACTAGCATAATTGATTTACTTAGTATGTGATATGATTTTTTATTAACTAGCATAATTGATTTACTTAGTATGTGATATGATTTTTTATTAACTAGCATAATTGATTTACTTAGTATGTGATATGATTTTTTATTAACTAGCATAATTGATTTACTTAGTATGTGATATGATTTTTTATTAACTAGCATAATTGATTTACTTAGTATGTGATATGATTTTTTATTAACTAGCATAATTGATTTACTTAGTATGTGATATGATTTTTTATTAACTAGCATAATTGATTTACTTAGTATGTGATATGATTTTTTATTAACTAGCATAATTGATTTACTTAGTATGTGATATGATTTTTTATTAACTAGCATAATTGATTTACTTAGTATGTGATATGATTTTTTATTAACTAGCATAATTGATTTACTTAGTATGTGATATGATTTTTTATTAACTAGCATAATTGATTTACTTAGTATGTGATATGATTTTTTATTAACTAGCATAATTGATTTACTTAGTATGTGATATGATTTTTTATTAACTAGCATAATTGATTTACTTAGTATGTGATATGATTTTTTATTAACTAGCATAATTGATTTACTTAGTATGTGATATGATTTTTTATTAACTAGCATAATTGATTTACTTAGTATGTGATATGATTTTTTATTAACTAGCATAATTGATTTACTTAGTATGTGATATGATTTTTTATTAACTAGCATAATTGATTTACTTAGTATGTGATATGATTTTTTATTAACTAGCATAATTATGTAAGCAAAATATTTATTTCTCTCTCTATCACTCATAACCATCATGTCTCTTAAACCTCTCTAGATGAAATGACTACTACATTGTCTTTAGTGTGTTTAAAACTATAATTAATATCACTCTTACCAGTTAATGCCTTGGTATTGAGCTATTCATTAAGTGATTGTTTCCTCTACTCTGGCTCCTCAGTTCACTTAATTCGAGCCTGTCCTGGAGTTAGTGCAGCTATACCTGAGGAAACCAAGGAACTAACTTAAATAGGTCCACATATGCTGGTTGAGAATGTTTCTAGTTCTCAGCCTAGCTCTGTCACTACTCTTGTGATTCAATATGTTATTGTTGCAAAACTTTGAATCTCATATCATTGAAGTCAGATGATGCGATCAATGTTTGACAGATGATTCCAATCACAAACAAAAGGGATTCATATATATGATATATAACATTAAACATATGCAAAAGAATGTGAGCTAGAATTTGCCAACAGAGAGTAATATCATCAAAATTGAATTGACTAATACAAAAATAGAATTAATATCTCATTCTTCATAGTTTCTTCTTCTAAAAAAAGTAATAAAGTAAATAGTGCCTGATGCCAATACAGTAACTCTTCATTTTTCCCAAAGACCACAAATAGAGCGAGACAGAGAGAGAGAGTACCGATTATAGTTCAGAAACAAAGTAGACTGTTCAATGGGGCTTGAAATGCGAGTAATCGAGGGGTCAGAGTTCAGATCGGAATCTTCGAAATCGCTTTAATGGAGCTTCGAAATCGCAGGCGATGGAGCTTCGAAATCGCGTCGATGGAGTTTTGATCTGAATCTTCGATGAAGCTTAGATCTGAAACTGCGATGGAGTTTCGATCTGAATCTTCGATGGAGCTCAGAAAGGGTTGAGAGAGAGAGAGAGAGAGAGAGATCTATGCGTATGTATTAAGGGTTGAGAGAGAGATGCGTATGTATTAAGGCTCTGATTCAAAATAAGGTTTCACAAAAAGGAGCGCGTGTGGCTCACCGCATTTGGAGGCGTTTTTTAACGCCTCCCATTATAAAACGGTGTCGTTTTGTTTAATAGAATATGCGGCGTTTATAAAACGCCGTTAAATACTAATAACAGTGACGTTTACAAAAACGTCGTTAACAAAACGCCACCAAATCTCTTTTTTCCTGTAGTGCCTTGCTAAAAAAATTTGACAAATGTTTAGTTAGATTTTTCAAAAATTATTTTTAAATTAATTTTCGCTTTTCTTTAGTGATTTTTATCTTTTTTTCATATTTTAATATTTTTTTTTATTTTTTAAATACACCTAAATCAAGATACATCTAAAATTTTTTAATTAAAATATAAAATAAATAAAAAAGTTCACGAAAACACACAAAAATTTATGTGTATTTTTATTTAAATTTTTGTTTATTTTTAATGATTTTTTAGTTATTTATTTTTTAATTTTTTATATATATTTAAATGTATCTATAAAGTAAAAATAATATAAAAATTCATGTAAAAATAATTTTAAAAAAATCAAATTCGTTTTGTATTTGGCAATTTTCGGATCATAAAGTGGGAGAGCACATGGACTGGTGAGGCACAGGTCACTGTAAGAGGCTCATTGTGAAGTGGGACTCCACTTTTCACACCAATAATTGGGCACTCATTGTACCAATTGACTGAAGCCGTGATTTGAC